TTGTCTTTCTACGACTTATCGCAGTATGAACAAAGGAGCGGTTTTAACATGTATCGCAAGGAAAAAAGCGGGCGGTTTTAACTTGATGTCTGCACCTGGCGTTCCTTGTGTCATGACTTCTTACTTTTCGCAAAACGAAAAAGGGCAGTTTTAACATACTGTATGTGCCCACCTGGCTTCCAAACTTATCGCAAGAAGAAAAGGGGTGGTTTTAACATGATGTCTGCACCTGCTTTTCCTTGTGTCATGTCTTTCTACTTATCGCGAAACAAAAACGGGTGGTTTCAACATAGGTCTGTACCTGGTTTTCCCTGTGTCATGTTTTTTCTACTTCTCGCATAGCGAAAAAGGGTGGTGTTCAACATGTGTCTGTACGTAGCTTTCCCTGTGTCATGTCGTTCTACGTATCACAAGGTGAGTAGGAGGCGGTTTTGACAAATGTCGGTACCTGGCATCCCCTGTATCATGTCTTCCTACTCTTTACAAGGTGAACAAGGGGTCGGTTTTAATGTCTGTACCGGGCTTTCCCTGTCACGTCTTTCTACTTATCGCAATGTGAACAAGGGGGCGGTTTTAACACATGTCCGTACCTGGCCTTCCCTGTCACGTCCCTGTACTTATCGCGCAAAGGGAAAAGGGGACATATGTCTGTACCTGGCTTTCCCTGTGTCATGTCTTCCTATGTATGAAAAGACGTAGAGTGGGAGGTTTTCACATATGGGTGTACCATGCCTTCCCTCTGCCATGTGTTCCTACTCGTTGCAAAGTCAAACGTTCTTCTTATCGCTTGCAAGATGAAAGCTGGTTTGTTGGTGAAAAAGGGCTGGTGCTTAACATGTGTCTGTACGTAGTTTTCCCCGTGTCATGTCTTTCTACTTATAGCAAGGTGAATAGGGCGTGGGTTTAACATATGTCTGTACCAGGCTTTCCCTGTGTCATGTCTTCCTACTTATCGGAAGGTGAACTAACGGGCGGTGTTATCATATGTCTGTGCCTTATCTACCTCTCGCAACAGTCTTGTCTTTTTTCTTCCGCAAGATGAAGGGGAGATTTTGACATATGTG